TGTGCAGACTCTATCACCTTACACACACACCCACACGTGCACACACGCACACGCACAAACACACCTGCACATACATGACACACGGAAGTCTCATCTGTGCATGTGTGCATACGCACCCACCCGTGTGCATACTCAATCACACAGTCACACATGCATGCACACATACTCACATGCGCACATGTGTGCACATCTCCGCACACACTCACGCATACACACCCACACCCGCACACGCACACGCTCACACAGTGCTCTGCCGCTTCCCTCCCCTTGCTGCCCTCCCCTGTCTGGCGAGTTCCTGCTCTTGGGACTCAGCTCAGGACGGAGGCTCCCACACACCTACCCTGTCACTGTCTTCCCTCTCCTTGCGGATCCACGGCTAGTTTCCACTTCCCGTCCCCTCGGGTCAGGCTGCACCACGTGACCCGTCGTGGCCCGTGCTGTGCTGTTTCCTAGACAGAGCATCGAATTAACCAAGGGAGAGACTCTCGTGATCCTTTCCCTTCACGGACCAGCACACATTGGCGGTGCAGGGAATGGGGACGGCTGGTCACTACCCTAAGGACAACTGCCTGAGAGACGCATGGACTCACAGCCAAGTGTGTGGCCAACACAGGAAGCCTTGTCGTTCTAAGTGACAAGGTTTGGGGGTACTTGTTACTGCAGTATAACCATAGCCAAACTGACAGTCACATACATCAAACTTCCCTCTAGAATTTCCTGATCACCAGTCCCTCCGCTCCCACCACAAAGGGAGGCTAGCTGCCCTCCTTCGGGTGCCCACAGCCCCTGAGCTGTCCCCAGTACCCTCCGCACACTGGATTAGCACCGCCTGCTCACGGCTCTGCCCGCCGCAGTCCTCGGCTCGAAGGACTCTAGATCCCGCCGCAGGGGACCCAGCTCAGGGGAGGGGTTCAGTACATGATTGACGAGCTAATGACCAGTTGGAAATGAGCTGGGTCTTGAACGGTGCATGTCCCAGGGAGGGGGTTACTGCACAACCATGGTGCAGAACCAGAAACAGCCCAATGGAGGAGGGGGGCTGGAAGACAGTGGGAGGGGGCTGGCCAGCGGGGCAGCAACAAGGGTACCATGGGGCGGGGGGGATTCGGGGCAAACTCCCTCTGCGAGCATTCTGAGCACTCGTGGGCTGTGGCACATAGCACCTGCCCCTTCACCAGGAGAAGCCCAGCGACCTGGTCCTCAGCCTGGAAGTTCCAGACCCCACGAATCACACGGGCAGGGAACCAGCCAAGACCAGCTGATGCAGGGTGGGCTCAGCCAGCGGTCTCACCCTCTCCCACCTGGGCTCCGACACTTCCCAGGTGACACTCCCGAGCCCCTCAGTGTGTCCTTCAGCAGGAGGGGTGGACCGCGGCTTCTCCCCAAGAGCAACAACCCCTGGTGGGGCTGAGCTGGTCTTTGCTGCTCCCTTGGCTTCTTTGTGAGTTGAAATGTATTTTTTTCCCCATTCCTAATTAACTCCCTGCCACCACGCTTGCAGTAAAGCCTGATTTATCGCTGTCTTTCTGCATGCAGGGGACGGGCTATTTAATCTCTGCCGCGTGGACTCCGGCACACATCTCAATGAAATGTACATCCCTCATCCCGTTAGTATCCCGCCAGCTCTCCTCCATCTCCCTGCTGTCCACGAGCCCGGCCGTCCCGGACTGAGGCGGCTGTAAATCACAGTCTCTCCTCTATAATAACACCCTCTGCACTTTGGCCTCACCTGTCAGCGTGGCTCGGACTCTGCCAAGCGGCAGTCTGTGGCTCATTCCCATTGGCAAACCTGGCAAGCCAGAAGCTGGACTCAGGTATTCCCCAGCCCGGCCCCCTGTGGTTGGTGCTCCCCATGCTCCGCCAAGCCCAGAGGTCACCTTTCAGCAGTTCCCAAGTGTGCCTCCCCGGGGGATGCCCGGCCAGGGGAGCATGCTCTGCCCACCTGCAGGGCAGACCACGGTGCCAGGAGTTGGCAGGCCAGGAGCCACCCCCAACCGTGGAGGGGTGGGAGCGGAATGGTGAACTGGTAACTAGGAGGGAAAGCAAGCCCTGATGGGTCATGTTCACTGGGTCTGTGGGGTCAGTACTCCTCCCCGGCCCACGTCAAGCCAGCCACATGCCGCTGTTGCCACTACTGAATGCCAAGTTCGGGAAAGATGGGTATCCTGGGTCTTCCCGCGGGTCCAAGCCCGCTCCGCACACCCTGGAGGGGACAGGGGGTGAGTTCAAAGCTCAGCTGCTCACCCTCGGGGCAGTTCCAAGGCGTGTCCCGCACAAGCACGAGCAGGAAGGAGGGGACTCTGAGGCTAGGTGCCCAAGGGTGAGTGGGCGCCCCACCGGCTGAAGAGGAGGGGAGCAGAAGCATCTTCTCGGCGGAGCAAGGAACGTGGCCGGAAGCGTGGGCAACTTTCGTGGCCACCTGTTTGGCTGCTTCAGAAACCGTATGCAGAGCAGGTGGGTCTTGGCCAAAGCCATGCCGTGGCTCCCAGAACCGTCCCTGGCATTGCACAAAGGCCCTTCTCTGACTGCAGATGGATGGATTTCTTTTCCAGAAGAATGAGCCTATGAATTCTATTTCATGCCAAGCACCCAGGCATTTGTCCACAAATCACAAGGTGGGTCCCCGATGCATTTTTAACTGATGGCGTCAACTGGGTTCTTCAGAGCCTAAAGGGCTGGCGTGCTCTCTGGCCCCACACGTCCCCGGTCTCCGTGCAGGACCCAGAGCAAGCCTCGGGGCGTAAGTCCACACCTGTATAACGCAGAGCTGGCCCTACACCGTGGCGTTCCCAGACTGGAATGGGCACAGGATCATCAGCCGAGCTTGAGAAAGGCCGATTCCTGGACGCCATCCCCAGGACTCCCATCCTGTTGCTGTGGGTTACCCCCCGGAGAAGCCTCCTTGACCTCAGGACCCTGATACAGCGGCCTGTCCATCCGCCCTGTGGCAGTGATGCTAATGCAGGGGAGGCCCTCGCTCTCTGCTCTCCCTTCGGGAGGCAACTGCCAAGGGCGGCCCTGAGCCGCTGGCCCGGCTGGAGGCAGCCCTGGGCGTGGAGGGGCTGCCGTGCCTACCCCTCCCACGACTTCTCATGAGCCCCCGCTGGCCTGGCCGAGATTGTCGGGGGCTGCCCTGCCGGCCGAGGCTCTCCCTACCCACCCCCCACCTTCTTTCTGGGTATCAGACCTGCATCATGGTCTGAGGCTGAGCGTCTTCTCATGTGCTGATCTGCCATCCAAACACTATTTTCAGTGAAGTGTCCATTCAAATCATTTGTGCATTTTTTACTAGGTTGTTTCTTCGCTCTTGAGTCTTGAGAGCTCTTTATACATGCTGGATACATGCCGTTTGTCAGACACGTGTTTTACGGCAGCCTCATTTTAACACCAAGGCCCAGCCCCAAGGGTGGGTCTCTGTGCTCCTCAAAGCCGGTCATTTATTTGGAAAACAAATCTACAGCAGCGCCCACCCAGAGGCCAGGGGCCAGGCCATCCTGGGGAGCTGGGGGGAGCAAGCGCTGAGGGACCAGGAGGGGTTAGCCAGGTAAAGGCCGAGGAGAATGTGTGTTGAGAGGAGGAGAAGGAGAGAACATTCTAGACTGCTCTGTCCAACAGGGTAGCCCCTGGCCACACGTGGCTACTGAGCATTGGACATGTGGCTCGTGAGACTGAGGAATCAAGTTTTTTATTTTCTTTTAATTTGAAAACTGACGCTGGATTCAGTTATTGGGAAACTTCTAAGTACGTTTGGTGCAACTGGGGTATGCAACTCTCTTTTCCAGCTGTAGGTTTTGTGACATCTAAATGCAGGTCAAGTATTTCTCATTAAAATGTAGCATCAGGGCTGAGATGTGTTACACGTGTAAAATACACCCCAGGCTTTGGAGACTTAACCTGCATCATCAATAACTTGCCTATTGATTACGTGTTGTTATTTTGCACATATTAGGTAAAATATGTTCTTAAAATTCATTCTGGCTGTTCCTTCTTCGTTTCTTTTTTTGTTTTTTTGGTTTTTTTTTTAAAGATTTTATCTATTTATTTGAGACAGAGAGAGAGCATGAGAGGGGGGAGGGTCAGAGGGAGAAGCAGACTCCCTGCTGAACAGGGAGCCTGACATGGGACTCGATCCAGGGACTCTGGGACCACAACCCGAGCCGAAGGCAGTCGCCCAATCAACTGAGCCACCCGGGTGCCCCCCTTCTTCCTTTTTTAATGAGGCTACTAGAAAATCTCGGGTTACCTACGCGGGTTGTGTTCGCGGCGTGCATGCTATTTGCAAGGTCGGCGGCTCTGCTCTAGCTGTGGGAATAGAAGCCCAGGATGCTGTTAGCACCTGCCCACTGCCTGGCACACACCTGCCCCAGCGCACGCGGGCAAGTGTTCAGATCCTCGGAACGAGGCCACACCCCTGCCGCGTGGAACAGGTGTGTTTGTTCTAGAGACCAGGTGGTCCTGGGAGCATTGCCCCACCTGAAACACGCAGGGTCCGCCCATACGTGCACTCCCTTTCGACCCCACGCCCCTCCCTGGCGGGCGGGCAGCCATCCCCTCAGGGGAGAGAGCTTAGAAAGCCAGATCTTGACCATTATGTCAGACCAAAAAATGTGGCTCCAAAAGCTTTGGGAAGAAACTAAGATCTGGAGAACGCCTTCTCCCTGCTCCTAAACTAGCCCGAGCCCTTTCCAGCTGGGGAAGGAAAGAGGAAACACAGACGGGAAGCACGGGGTTTGGATGCCACTGGGGGTCCGAGAAGGGGATCCTGCAGCCTGCCCCCTCGGGCGGGAGAGGAATGAGAAGTCCCCAGAGCTAGGACAGCTGGGGACAGACGGAACCCGAGAAATCTGGTAAGTGGGGGGTGCTAACACGGGGTGGGGGGCTGGAAGGGGGCAGGGAGGACAAAGGACACAGAAGTCAGTAAGGGACAGCGAGCAGGCTACCAAGGAGGAAACTCTCTGAGGCTTGGACACCTCGGAACAAGTAGAGCAGGGGGATGAGACATGACCGTGTCCCTTCAGGGGACACTGGCATCAGGAGCTACCAGTGACCAGGTACCCTCCCCAATGCCATAAGTCTGTATAACCCCCTAGAACATAACTGCCACGCTAGGGCCAAAAGAAGGGCAAAGGGACCCTCTAAACTCTGAGTTTAAATGGCCCAGTTTACCCAGAACTGGCCAAGATGGCATTTTCTGCCATGGGTCAGAATCGGGGCTCAAAGTAGCCATCAGGCTGAGTTACAGAAAAACATAGTCCTGGTTTCGCTTCACCTGAGTCCCCAGAGTGAGAGATGCATCCCCACCGCCTGGGTCATGTGACCGCTTCCTTCCCAGGGTGGCCCCAGAAGCTTCCAGAACTCCCCTGTGTGCCTGAAGACAGGCATGGCCAGACCCCCAGGGCTGGAAGCACCCACCTCGAGCTAAGAACAAGGTGAATTCCCTTGGAGCTGTGTCGGGGGGCTGACCTTGGAGCCCTGGGCCTGCTGAGCATCTGGACAGGGGCCGGCAGCCTGGGAGGGGCTGCAGTGGGCTGAGGAATGGCCTTGCTCTCCGGAGCGGCCAAGAACAAGGCTGGTGGGCAGGCGTAGCGGGCAGCTGGCTGGAAGGGAGTGACAATCACAGGCATCCCGGGTCCCGACCCCAGCGACCCTCTCCCCATGCCATCCTGCTTTCTCACCTACAGCTGCCCATAGCTGGGGAGGGGGACATGGGACCTGGGCCCACAACGCTGGTCACCCCTGTCTGGTTCTGGAGAAGGGAATCCAGGCACTAATGAGAACAAATGGCAGCCTGGAGAACTCATCTGTGGCTCCCAGATGAGATTCCCCCCGCCCTCCCCACCTACCCCTCCAAAACCCGCAATTCAACAGAACCCGGTCTGGGTTTCCTTGTGTAGCGTGAGCGCCACCTGGTGGTTGCAGGTGGGAATTTCAAGCCATGTTCTCCAGGAGGCCAGACCATCTCTGGGCCAAGGTGGGACCACCCACCGAGGCTAGCAGCCGCTCAGTGCAAGCCTGAGGACTTCGAGACAGTGGCAGCAAGGTCTAGCTACAGGGGCTACACCTCCCAGTCAGGTGGACTTCATGCATTCATTCCCCCAAGCATGTATTGAGTGTCCACTGCAGGCCAGCTATCGGGGATCTAGAGAGGAACGAAATGGTCACGTGCCTGGCTTCACGGAGTGTCCACCCTAACGGGGGGAGGCAGAGAACGAGCGTGTAAGTAATGAGATAATTTCATAATGTGTTCGGTGCTGTGAGAATTCTCAAAGCTCAGGAACAGAGTCCAAAATGTTTCTCAGGGTCTTCAGTGGGACTCGCCTCAGCCTCATCCCCCAGAGCTCACCTTGACACAGGCCCTGGGCCCCATCCTCCTGGGGCTCCCCGCAAGTCCTTACCTGCTGTGCTGTCCAGGCCTCAGAGCCATTCCCTGCACAAGCCATTCCCTCCAGCTGCTTGCCCTTTACATCGAAACTCAAAGATCGCCTCTTCCATGCAGCCTTCCCTGATACTCCACAGGCAGGATCAGCCCCCACCACCATCACCATAGTATTCATGCACCTTGTATGGACCCTTTCACAAGGTCAGAGAGTGGAGTCACTATGAGGCGCTGGGTATGGAGCTGGGAAGGCCTTGCGTCCAGCCCTGACTTGGCCACTGCGGGGGTTTGTGGCCGTGGGCGTGGTTCTTAACCTTTCTTAGCCTCAATTTTCTCGTCAGCGAAAAACGGGACTTAAAATAGCACATCCCTCCTGGCTGAGAAAATGTGATGCTTTAATGTCAGTGAAGTGCTCTGCACATCTCGGGGCACACAGAACACATGTTCGGTAAACACGAGCTGCGATCGTATGATATTATCCCTGTGCCAAAGCCAGAGACGCAGCTGTCTGTTGCTGGCTTTCCCCGCAGAGCTCTAAGTGTCTCTGTGTCTTGTCTTATGAAGAGGGCCTTTTCCCGTTGTCCCAGGACTGTGATCCAGGACTCTGGTCTGGAGGCAGAGGGATATCAGGTGCCCCCAGCCAGCAGCGAAAGGGGTAAGATGTCTTCTCAGGGCTGAAGGCTGAAGAAGTGGCCAAAATGCTAGCCCACCCTCTCCCCCTCCTTCCATTGACAGCCATACAAGCAGGAGACAGCCGAGGAGGCAGGGGGAGAAATCGGGAGTCCTCGGGGGTGCGGGAGGCCGGGGGCGTGTCACTGTCAAGTTAAGAGACCCTGGATTTTTTTTTCCCTCCTCCTGCTCTCCCTCCCCTCCTCGGCTCAGGCTAAGCAGAGAGGGAGGAAGAAGAAGGAGAAGCAGCTGGTTCCCCTCCCTGCCTCCCTCCTGGGGCTCTCAGGGCAAGGCCTGGCTGCTCTGCAGGAAGGGACAAGATGACCGTGAAATTGGATTTGAGGTGGAAGTTTTAGATTCAACCAAACAGGCCTTTTTATTGCCCCAAAGTGCCCGGGAAATGGCAGAATCTGTCCGAGCCCTAGCGAAGGGACAGGAAGCGGAGAATGGAAAGAGTAAGGCTGAGGGAGTGAATCACTAGCGGGGAAAACCAAACCATTTCCTGTGCATTCTCGACATAGGCCAGAGCGACCATAAACAGCTACACGTTTCCCCAGAGCCTGGTGCAAGCTGGTGTCCAACCCAACATAGCAGGAGGACAGGTTAATCTCTCCACCCAGGAATTCCGTGCCCCAGACTTGCTCCCCGTGAGGGTCTTGGCCCTGGATGCCCCCCCACTCCTACGGCCCCATCCCCACTCCCCCCACCCCTGTGCCCATGCTCTCAGCAGACTCAAAGCCCCACACCTGATTTGGTGTTCTTCTGCCTTGAAATTCCTAAAACCTTTTGAACAAGGGACCCCACAATTTCATTTTGTACTGGGCCCTGCAAATTACGTAGCCAGTCCTAGGACAGGTCCTTGCTCCCCAAGGTCATAGGTAGCAAATGGAACCCACTCTTTGGCCCCAGGGCTCCTCTGCAGAGTGGTAAACATAGGTACCTTCTGGGGGGTCTCTGAGCACAGGCAGCTCCCCTGCCCTTCTCCTTCCCCAGGAAGCAGGCTCTGAGCCCACCACCCATTATGCCTCTGTGCTCTGGGAGCCTTGGTCTGTGCAGACTACCAGAGGGGGGCCCCAGTGAGCCAGAGAGGGCCACCATGGGTCACTGCTCCTGCCTAATATTTGCAGGGCAGGATGGGACATGGGGAGGGCGGTGCTCCCAGTGCTGGAGGGCACGAAACCTGCAGTAAGTTAGGCAGCATTTCCAGACAGCTGCTATGGGATGAGAAGGCCAAGGGCAAGGAGGGAGCCGGGCCGTAACAGGAATAAGGTAACCGCCCCCGTGCCAGACTCAATTCCTCCTGGCTATTAATCCATTTCATCCCTACAACCTGTTCAGGCTTGCTTAGTTTCATCTCTATTTTACAGAATAGCAAACTGAGGCACAGATTTTATATATATATATATATAGGGGGCACAGGGTGCCAAGGGAGTTGGAAAGACAGGGGTGAAATTCTGGCTTTATATATATATATATAATCAAGAGGCTTATACTTACGTATATCAAGAGACTTATTTTTAAAAACTGGCTCCCAGGATTAGAAAGCTGACAGGTGTGAACTCTGTAGGGCAGGTCAGCAGGCTGGAGACCCAGGCAGGATTCCTTCTCTCTGGGAAACCTCATTTCTTATTCTTCATGCCTTTCAACTGATTGGATGAGGCTCGCCCACATTAATGGGGTGATGCCCTTTACTTAAAGCCCACTGATTGTAGATGTCAACACATCTATGGCACCTGGTCACACCAACATCCGGATTAGTGTTTGATTAAATCACTGAGTAAGATGTCCTCCTCAAACGGATGCCTCAGACTAACCATCCCAAGTTCTGGCCAAGAAGTTGTGTGCAGAAGCGATGGTCACTTCCAGGTTGTGATTTCATTGCCAGTCCAAAACCCTCCAGAGCTCTTTCTTTCCCTCTCCTGGGGGACCAGCAGTCTGCAAGATGGTGGTTGCCGGGTCAGCCTGAGTCCTGGGATGAGTTGAAATAAAGGAGACCTCAGGGGCACCTGGGCGGCTCAGTCGGTTGAGCACCCAACTCTTGATTTCAGCTCAGGTCTTGATCTCAGGGTCCTGAGATCAAGCCCCGCATTGGGCGCCACACAGCAGGAAGTCTGCTTGGGGATTCTCTCTATCCCTCTGCCCCTTCTCTCTCTCTCTCTCTCAAATAAAATAAATAAAATCTTAAAAGGAGATTCCCCCCCCACACACACACACAATCTTCAATGGACTTGAGGTGGGAGCTAGAAATGAATAAATCTTGGGTTTGGGAGAATTTCGTGAGGCTAAACTAAGTCTAAAGAACATGTGTCCTTCACCTTGCCTTTGTGCAGTCCTCGTGAACCAGCTCGATGTTTCTTGAGCATCTCCCAAAGGTATCCCCAGATCCTAGCCTTCTCCTCAGAGGTGATGTGAAAGTCTCCATGTGTGTTGCTACTGAGGATGAAAATAACACATACCAACCTTTGATGTTTGAACCTAGATCAGCACCTGAGACAGAAACTCACCCCACTGTCCAGACTGCTGACTTGGTTCTCAAAACTGCTAACTCTTAGCTCCCACAAATGTTCTCCTTCTGGCGCTTGGGGTCAAGTTAAGTAGAACCTAGGTTCAAATAGGGAAGTGCCATAGCACATGAGTCGTGGGTCCCACAACTAACTCTTCCTTAAAAACATGCTGACTCTGAGGGAAATAATCAGCCAGCAAGACAACTCTCTTCCAAACCATGGCAGGCAGAATCCTGAAGAATTCCCTTTTCCCCTTCCAAGAGAAATGACAAGGTCTATCCTAAAGAGAAGGTCCTCTGTGATGCCCTCAAGGCCCCTAGAGACTATGCCTGTCATTCAACCATCCATCTACTCATCCACTCATCCATCCATCCACCCATCCATCCATCATCCATCCATTCATCCATCCATCCACCCATCATCCATTCATCATCCATCCATCCATCCACCCATCATCCGTCCATCATCCATCCATCCATCCCTTCTTCCTTCCTTCTTTCCT